GAACTTAACCTTCTCATGGAGCCAAGAAATACTTGTACCAAGTTTCATCATGATATCTCAATTTTTACTCAAGTTACGGCTTGCACGGACGGACGGACAGACGGAAGGACGGACAGACAGACATCCGGATTTCAACTCTTCTCGTCACCCTGATCACTTTGGTATATATAACCCTATATCTGACTCTTTTACTTTTAGGACTTACAAACAACCGTTATGTGAACAAAACTATAATACTCTCTTTACTTTGTTGCGAGAGTATAAAAATTATTATAGTAGCTGAAAGCTCTGTTTAAAGTGTGGCCTATATCTTGGTCTCCGTATACAAATATTGACAAATATGTTTTTCTCATTTTGATAATTTGGAGATGAATACCTATAACCCCAATTTAATGAGTCAGACATATGCTTCAGGCGAATAAAACCTTTTGTTAGTACAAAAATTTTCGAGAGAATAAAAAGAGATAAGAGGGAGAGAGAAAACTAATCAATTATTAAACTAATTAAGCTTGTCAAACACGAAATACCCGCTTCTTAATTTTTTGAGTCCTTTGCTTAGCTTACTTTTTGTTAACAACGAATAATTACAACAAAATCAGCGGGAAGAGTATTCGCGAATCACGTACAAATATTACATTTTCAGTATGTTAATAAATTGTTTCCTAAATGTTTTGAACGAAATTTATATTCCTATATATTTTCAGCACAGTTCTAACTTTCCAAAGTTCCAAAATTACACTGCAGGGATCATTAGCCATTTATCTTTCTTTTCTTTTAGTACACATTCTTGTTGTTGCTGCCACAATTTATATGGCAATATAATTTTTGTAGCCTTATGTTTTAGCATTTTCACTTGCAGCGCCCGGCACAGACACACTGATTTTTCAGTTAACCATTGCCGCATGTCACTTTCAAACAAGAACTTAAGAAACAAGTAAAAAACACTCTCATACAAAGACCTCAACGCCGCGTTTTCATAAAAGTGTTACAAGACTAATAGACGTCACAGTTGCAAAGCTTCAATAAATCACTCAAGCAAATTCCGTTCAACACAGTACCGCTACTTGCGTCTTGTCTTGCAAAAAGAAATTCGAAAAACTATACAACAATGCTAGCGGTTATTTTCGTATTTCCGACTATCACGCGGTACGTCTGAATTGCACGAAATCTACGACAGGACTAACTTTCGACGACTCGCAACAGCGTTGTTTTATAAAACCCGGTTTGTTGCTGTCACAGTGGATTTTTGTGAATGAAATCTTGTGTTGTGAAATGAGCAAATGTAAACAGATGCGTAAAAGCTCTGTCTTCGTGGGATGCTCGTGAGCTGTCGTCTATCGCTGGTTGGAGCTTTTACTTAATTACTTGCATGTCGATATCCATTTACCTACGCGTATAATAGCTTCAAATACACTTGTGCTGATGGCTCCTTTTATATATGCCAATGAATGAAAGTATGTAGTAGGTTCTTAAACTCTAACCTAGCAATGTTGCGTTTTCCACACGACTGTTGCGACTTTAATACTGCATACACTGGGTTGAAAAAGTTTGCGTTCCCAATTATATATGGATTTTATGTCTGTATTTGCATTCGCCGAAATATAGCTTTATTAAGTTTCATACTAATTTAGATTATTTGTTTTTATTATTAGTACAAATGTCATCTTGGTGGAAAGAGACTAAAGAAAGCTTCTCATAAAATATCAATATTTACATTTCATGAGTTCAATGACCGTTTTGTTTACATTAATCCAAATCAACATCCCAACCTAATTTTTATCACTTGATTAAACTTTTAAGTAAATCATTTTGTACAAACGCTCTGAAAAAGTAGCTTCGAGAAAAATGCGTTTAAAATTCAAAGTTAAGTTGCCACAACATTAGAAAGGTTTTACTTTTGAAATAATTCTAATTTCGAAAAGTTTTTTTTATTTTATTCCAAAATATTTAAACCATGGAAATATGATAATAAAAGCCATGAAAAATTGAGTCTTCTCATTTTATGGATAAATTTGTGGTTTTCGATGTGCCTTGCAAACTAAATAGCTAAGCGCTGCTTATTCTACCTATGCTAATATTCAACCACTAACTATGTATAATGTCCTCGGTTGTACATTAATTAAGACTAAACAATTAGAATTTATGTTTTTGTGCCATTCTTTTCAATGGTACCAAATTTATGATGTGAATGGATACAAAAGTGTGGCAAACTAACTTCTAAAAAGTTTTGACAAAATTGTCATTATATTATTTATACCACAAAAGAACAATATTATTGTTATATCTGCTTGAAACATCTTATCATAAAAAATCATAACAACTTGACAGAAATCTAAAAATTTAACATGTCGTTTGTAAAACAGCTGAATAATAGGTTTATATAATAGAAAAAACTTTGACTCTTTGCGATATTGACTTCTAATTGTACGCATATCGAGGTTAATCTACCATTCTACTGCTATTTGCCTACACGTTGTTGTAATTTGAGCGTTATCCTTATGCAATATTTGTGAAAATTTCAGTGTCGAAAAGCAGATAAACATCTTCAAACTGATTTTAATGCCCGAACAGTAACAGTAAAATCTAGTATTGCACACCCATCTGAACTAGATGCTAAAGTTTGTGGATCCTGAACGGGGTAACATCCAGCAAGAAACGTTGGCACCCCTATAAAAAAATAGAAATGAATAATCACCACGGCAAGCAAGTTGACTTAACCATGTCCGTCTGTCTTTTTATCTGTAAGCAAGAGAAGGTTTCATTCCGTACGACAAGGTGAATGCGCAAACAATTTGAATACCAAATCATGCACTTCAGCAAATCTGATTTAGTTATTATTTCGACCACAGATATTTTGCTTGCTGGGTGGGAAGGCACACATGTCATTCCAGCAACCGTAATTTTGCCCTTTATAAGCCATTAAATAGTTCAAATTAAATGGTACGGGATTCAATTAATTTCAAAGGAAATTTGCCATATAACCACCACTAATTTCCAATTTTAGCCTCGAAACCATTCTTGAATTACCAATTTTATGTGACGCATATTAATTACTTGTAATTGTTGCTCAAGTGTGTGTGCAAATAAAAGTTAACCTAATCTAAACAAGTTTAATTTGCACATAAATTGTGTGTGTTTGCACGGCTGAATCATTTTCTGAATTCACCGAATTTCTGCGTCATTTATATATTTATGTGCCTGTGTTAAAATAACACTTATGCTGTGTGTGGCTGTGCGCCCTTGTTGGAAAACAAAGTTCCCACAAAATATAGAGTGTGATTATTTTGCTTACAACATAACTTTATTATATGCTAATTTTCATACTAACTAATAGAAATTTTAATATGCAATTTATAATTAAAAGTAAATTAGTAGTTTTAGTAATCTCTATTGAAACCAATTTAAATAAAACTGAAATTAACATTGTGTTGCTCAGTTTTTGTTTATTTTACTAATAAGAATTTGTATTTGTTCTTAATTAATTTATTGTAAGCATGTGTGAAATCTAATGAACAGTTTGTAGCGTATACTTCCAGTTTTCGATTAAAAAATTTGAAAAAGAAGAAGGACATGATTATTTCTCTCTTTATTCTTAGAAATTTTTAGTTTTTATAATATAAAAAAATATTAAGATATCCTTATTTTGATTTAGATTGATCACTTTTTAAGACATCCTGAGTGGTGTGATCTAAAAGATTTGCTCAAAGAGTGTTTCTTTGGACAATAAACCGTTGCAAACTTCATGAAGATCTCAAGTCAAATAAAAATGTTTTCCATAAAATAACTTGAATTTGGTTTGTACAGCAGCTATATGTTATATGCCAGTGTAAAATTCCAGATCGATAGCTCAAAAATTCAAGGACTAGTTCATCGATGTCGATGACGATGACGATATTTAATTGAGGGTATGAAAAATTTGAAATTGCTATCATC